CCAGGGCTACTTTCTGTGCCAAGGATGGAGAGTGGTTCCTCAGCATGTTGTCAGTTTCTTTACGTGTGTAAGCCTTGAGCTCAGAGTCTTTTCCGGCCCCCTAGCTTCCCTAGTGGTTTTTGGACATGCTGAATTCAGAAGATGCTTCTTCACCTAAGCAGGACGTGACATTGCCCGAGATGCCCGATCGTCTGAGCCCTCGGGCTGGTGCCGATTCTGCACACAACAGCGAATCTACTGATTGGCAGAGCCATGCGTCAGAATGGGAGTCTGCCAGTTTATCTGATGACGAGGTCGATCATACTACAAAGTGCGACGAATGCAACTCCCCCATGGACGGCAACGCTAGTGCCCACGGCACCGCTAATCTCGACGGTACGCGACTTGCTGCACATTTTATTCCAATCGATGCCCCCCTCCTCCTCGCAGTTACTGTGACCACTCATGAATACAAGACGCTTTTCCGATCAGCATCTATCGATCAGTAATACCTCCTCCAGCGCCCTCTCACCCTTCCACAGTTGTTGCCTGCCTCAGTAGAGGCGTCAATTGGTATGCAGCAGTAGGCGATCCGGATACCCGAAGGTCTGGTATGCGCAAGTACACCACATTCTCAGTTCGGGTAGAAGGAGCTGTTCGCTGCCAGCTCTCCCATGCTGTCTACAGATAACCGATTCTTCTGGCCGAGTCACTTCTGCTACCCGTAAGAGATTCACCGACTTCACTGTGTTGAGGCGTGAGCTCGTACGTAAGGGGATCAGCCGTGCTTTGTTGGATGAGGAAATCCCCTTCTCAGGTTAAAGCATATCCTGGAGCGTTCGTGCCTCCTCTGACCTGTGAAAGTCAGATCAAGGTGATGATGAAGACGGCGCCTACAGCGATGATGCAGCACATGAAACAAGTCGACAACGTCACCGAGATCAGACGCCAAGCACTAGATGAGTTCCTCAGCAGGTTCGAAGAAACTCTGACAAGGCTTCATCTCATCGTTGTGGTGTAGGTGTTGTTCGCGCCCCTTTATAATGTACTCCCCTATAATGGCCGCATTCTTGGCCACTCCTGAGAGCACCTATGACGCTTTGAAAAGAGTATAATGAACTTCATTACGTGATGCAGTAAGTTGCATCGGTCTCAGGATTTCTCTAACCGGGCTCCTGAGGAAGTACTGGACGAGTACAAGGTGGCGTTCGCAGCGAGGTCCATCCCATCGTAAGATCTCTTTGATGCGCTAGCTCTTCCCTAGGACGTGAACTTTAGATTCAACAGACGTCTGGTCGGGTCCAGTGGTGAGGTTGAGGGGCTCACAAAAGATGACTCTTCCGACGACGGTTCTCATGAGAACTCAACTGGAGGCGTTCACGAGTAGGTTCTTTAACTGAGATTCTCCACTGGATTGGTTTTTGTTTTAGTGCCGCTGTTGACAGTTCTATCAACGTGTCGGAGATGATAGCGACTTCGGAATCATACCTCGCCGACCATTGTAAAGTTCTTAATCAGCTCCGCACAATGCTGCGAACGGCGGCCTCTAACTTCAAGTGTGCTAACGCAGCCTTGAGTACAATTCATTACAAGTTTTCCGATTGCGAGACCATCGATGAGCAGGGTTCCGGCCATGTTCTGGCTCTTGCACAGGGTCTATCTGGTACCCCTCAGAGACTCAATTTGTCTGACGCTTTCTTCGAAGTCAAGAATATCATCAGCGCCCCAGCAGATGCGGCACACTTCGATCTGCTGGCCTCTGCCCTGAGTCGCGAACTCACAGACTGTTCGGCTATGAAGGCCTCTCTCGAGAAGGTGGTCGAACTTGGCAAGCATCGAGATAAAGCTATTGCAAAGCTTCGCTCCGCTAGGAAACATGGAGGGCCCGGTGGTGTTGGCGGGATAATTCGTGGCACCACCAGAGATCAAGTGAAGCATGCGGAGATCAACCGAGTTTTGTACGCTGATTTCTACTGGACCGCCGGTTACAACGCTGTCATGAACGAGGTGCCAGCTTTCATGGAAGGTCGAGCCCGAGTTTTCAACGAGGTTGCTCGAGAATTCGTCTCGCGATCTGAAGCGACTAGCAAGAGCTTGGCCGTGACCTGGGCTGGGAAGATGAAGGAGGCCATTCTGTAGATATTGTCATTCTAAAGATCCGTGTTCCTAAATATTCATTTCTTTTGAGGGTCCCTATGGGTTTTCGTCTCATGTTGTCAATTATCAACTGGAAGTCCCGAATCTCTCTCGATCGGCCATGGTTATTCACGAGTCTCGAGCACCTCTACTGGCTGATGACGACGGAATTCGAAGGCACTACAATTTCCCCAGGCCGACGATGTTTGACCGTGTGTGTGAGGTTCTCTCTAGTTGAACGGCCCACTACTATGTCCAACAATGCTAGAAACTGATGTTGTCACGATGGCAGAGACTGTCGTGCATCATATGAGTTGGTGTCATCCCGTGGACCCTCAGGTGCCGAAGGTACATGTCGAACTTCCCAATTATTCTTACACCAAAGCTGTACAATTAGAACACATTGAGTTAAAAAGTAGCCGCACGCCGGAGTGCACACGTTCCTGCTTGGCGTTGTCCGAGCATAACTTTATGTGATTAACTACATTTGTAATCACAATGGAGGCGGTCCCAACAGTATTGCGTTAAAACAGTTTCAACGTGACTGGAAGACGCAGGACTCTTTGAATCGCGGAGAAAAACCTTCTTTACCACCTCGAGCTAAAGGAGCTTATCATAACGCTCGCGTCCGTATTGACAGAAAGGATGACTGACAAATAACAAACTAATAGCCCTGACTGAGGATGACCCCGAGGGAACGGACAGGTCTATAATTGGTTTACCGTCATAGACAAGATGATCCTTGGGGACTTTATCGCCAGGCGAGATGAAACTCAGCAGACTTTCAGCAGAAGTCCGGCAATCTCTGATGACGATCGCTCGTAAACTACCATCCTCCTTCCTATACAGTACTTAATGCCTATGAGTTTTATTATACCCAGTACTATCACTACTGCCAACACAAGTACTCGAGCAAGGGCGAGTGGAAACGTCGTCATCCGCATGTGGCGGAAGAGTATGTGCTAATTCTATTATGGGCATCAATCGTATAGAAGAGAAAATATTCAACCTCCGTAGCTGCCGGGCATGGGCATGGATCGGGGAGGACCACCACCGCGCCAAACCGCAAGGTCCGCAGGGTAGGGACCAGCCCAGCTGTACCTGCAGGTTGGTCCTTGTCTTGCTAACCGGAAGCAGCTTCTTACATCCGAGTGGTCCCAGGTTGGGGCTCGACAGTTGGGTAGTAATAACAAGGGTATGCTTGGTA